AGCATAAGTGCTCTATGATACGTCTAAATATGTGAGGTTGTTTGCATTATATTTAAACCAACACTTGTCTTATTTTATTCCAGCATTATGCATACTAATTTTGCCTCGACCAAAATTTTCAACAATCATTAAATCACTTCTTCGTTTTATTAATATTAGTTCTTAAGTTGACACTAGTATGAATTAGTTCGTGACACTAGTTCTCGTTGTGGTTAAAATATATTTCCAATTCAATCCCTGTGGAGACGATACTCACTTACCCTATATTACTTGAATCGATTGTGTATACTTACACAAATTTGCTTGCCTTAACATATACATTTACAAGTGATCAACATGTCGTCGTCACCCCCAGAGATCCACACCACCACCGTCATCAGTCACAATCTTGTCAAATCAAAAACCCACTTAAAAAATATAAAAAAATCCTGAAAAACCAAGATTTTACCTGTTCAAATCTAGGGAAATCACCCCCTACAAAAGGAAAATTTAATTTTACCCAAAATGATCATAAATCACAGGAAAACATATTTTCAAATGAGTTTTTTCGGTGGGGGAAATCATTTAAACAAAAAAATAGAACAAGGAGAAAAAAGAACCGAAAAAAAAGTAGAAAGAATAAGGGAGAGAGACATTTGAACCAACATAAATAAAGAAAAGGGGCTTACCATCGGTCGAAGTTCCTCGTCGGCGTTCAGAGGGTTCGACCGTAGATCCGAATGGTGAAGATGAGCATGCAAGAGGAAGGAGTAACATACTCCAAAACCAAGGTGATCTGATGGCTGGAATTAGATATCAGAGAGGTTGAAAACTAAACGTTTTTTATAGCTTTGTGTAGATTGAGGCTTCTTTTTGGAGAAATGATCCCAGATCTATGTTCGGGCCTCGAGAAGGGGCCATCGGAGTAATTAGGGCTCGAAAGGCTACTAGAGTACGGCGGCGGATGGTGGCCGACGTGACAGTTAGGGGAGGTGTCACTTGTCAAAGGCTCACCGGATTGAAAGAAGAGAAATGGGGCAGAGGATTCAAGTTTCATCTGCGAGAGAAGGGGAAAAAAGAAAAAGTGAAAGAAAAAATGGAGAAATTCCTTATATAGGCTGAATGAAACGACATCGTTTTGAAGGGACGGTTCCTGTAATTTTGTGCGATGGAAAATTTCCATGTTGATCCTCGCAGGTTTTGTAAATTTTCATTTTAGCCATTAAAGAAATGGTTAAATCATGTGTGGTCCTTAAATTATGCTAGGTTTATATTTTAGTGCCATGTTTCCTATATTGTTGAAAATTGGTCTATTTGTGTTTTCAAATCCTCGGATTTTTGTTTAAATGCAACCTGGTCACTATTTTATGTTTGAAAATTCAGATTATTGTCTGATTAGCTCCATACATTTTTTTTTATTCATGCATTTTGATCCATGCATTGTTTGTCTATTATATATCAACCCTTAACTTAGCATATGCATTTTGTAAATATTGTTAAGCAAGTGATGTCATATTAAATATTTATATGTATATGTATATGTATGTGTGTATGTATTTATATGTTTTTTGCGTAGTAAAGTTATGTACATATTTTTTTAACTTTTTATTAAATACTATTTTATTTAATAATTTGTTAAATGTCACTCGCTCAAATATTTTCGAGAACACTCGGTGTAGAATGAGCGTGGAAAGCATAGCTTTGTCGAAGTAGTGTGATCTGATACGACATTCGAACGAAATGTGAATTCGAAATAAATTGGGTTTATTTTTTTAAATGCTAATTAATTCGTTTTTATTCTAATTCAAATGATGCAATGCATGTTTTTTTATATAGTAATTTATTTTATGCAAATGCGGATATTCAATTTGATTTGCATTCTTTGATAAATCAAGGAGGGAATATTCTTTTTAGACAAAAAAAATAGAAGATATAGCCTTCCCGTCAGAGGATGAGCAAATCTTGATATTTCTTTTCGAATTAAAATATTTTCCCTAATAAATAATTCGAAGAAAATTAATTAAACTTTCATGAATGGATCATATTCTAACTTTATATTCGATTTATAATTTCCACAACCGCGATAATATATAAGCGACTAGGTACCAATTTTGGGCGTTGTGTGGGTGTTTATCCTTCCCCACGCGTAACCGACTCCCGAACCTACTAAGTCGAGTTTTTGGTAAACGGACCAATTTTTGTCTTAAAAAATGATTTTTCCTTAAAATTGGTTTAAATGACGTTTTTAGATATTCGGCCTACCTAACCTAAAGGACGATGGCGACTCCAATTCAAAATTTTTAAATTAATTCAAAATCGCCCAATTTTTAAAGTAAAAGTCATAATTATTTTTTAAAAAAATGGTTATGACATTTACATAATAAGAATAAATTTACTTGTGATACGCTTTGGTACGTCTCTTTAGATGTACGTTACGGTATGCGACGTGCGCCGTAGATTTATCCCTGTTCTATGGTATTGGATTTTGAAATTTAGATGTATGCTTTTGATACATAAATTTCAGTAAATTTTTTGATATCCAAACTGGATATTGGGACTCAAAATCGATACACCAAAATCTTTAAATTTTTATATTTTAATTTTCTTTATGATTTGTAATTATATAGATATTTGTTTTTTCAACTTAATTTTGATTTGACTCATTTAAATTTTAATTAGTTAATATAAAATCTTGAACTTGATTTTCGACTAAAGCATGTTAAGGCTATTATATTTCTTTCCATTTGTAACTATTAAAAGAAAGCTTAAAGGATGATTTATTAGATGGGAAAAATGACACTCGTGATTTTTCAACCAAAGAAGGCCCCTTGAATGTGAAAACAATGTCATGATTTTACAGTAAGACATTAAGAAATGAACAAAAAATAGCAAACTTTATTTTGCTTATCATACATGTATTATGTTTAATGTCATTTAGCAACACTGTCTTCTATTAATGGCATTGAGCTAATATCTTATTTCATTTTTAAGCATCTGACATGACTCGTAGATTAGGGCTACGCACCAAATCTATACAAATTTTAAATCAATATCAAATCTATAAATGTGAAGATTTTAGGGTGTAATATCGCCCGTGATATTGTTAATTCCCACTCATATTTTGATCAGTTCTTTTTCTTCTTTCTGCCTCTTGGACCATCCGCTGGAATTATGGTCATTTTCTTGGTAAACACATGATACTAATTGTTGAATTCTTAGTCAGTTCTTAAGTGAGATAATGACAAGCTGATTATGTTGCTAAAATATACGGTAAGCACTATTATGTAGTAAAAAAAAGTTGGAATTCACGACGGGTTAGTTCAAGTAATAAGTAACTTGATATCGTTCAAATAAGGTTTCAAGTTCGAGTCTTTGTGTGTGAAGAAAATTCAAGAGATTCACCCACCAAAGTTAAGTGTGACTCAAATCGATCCAGATTAGTCAGGACAAAACCTTGAAACAGGAGAAGAAAAAAAGTTGGGATTCATACCTTGCATTACCCTTCCTACTAACTAATAAACTGTGTTTAAATAGGGGTGGGAAGCTATTGACCGGAATCAAAGGCTTTTGGGGTTGATATGTAGCTGTCAAGGAAGAAGATGAGCATGGGAGTTGAATATTGAACAAGTTGGGAAAAATTCATTTGATTTGTTAAGAGTCCAAAGAAACAGGATGGACCTTGTCCCTCTCTTCCCGCCACTCGCCGACCCACCTTCATGTATCCTTCACCGAACTTTGTTTCCCTATTTATATTATCAGGCCATCAATTTTATAATAAGATTATTGATTCTATCAACTGAGATTTACTTAAATTAATTATAGAGTAAATTATAAATTCCATCCCTAAATTTTATTCTCAATCTTATTTTTGTCACTAAAATTTTAAAATTTTCAATTTACTTATTAAATTTTTTATTTATTTCTATTTTAGTCAATTTGCCGTTAAATCCTTAATGGTGTTATGAATGAACATTTTCTTTTAAAAAATGAAATGGCCTAAACAATTTCTTCTTCTTTTTCGAAAATACCTAATTTTGAATTCCTTTTGATTTTTGGATGATGAAGCTTCTTCTTCCAAATCCCAACACAGGATGTAGAGAAAGAGGAAGTGAGTTGTATATTGATTACATATTGATTGAAAGATGGATATTATAGATCATAGTGATTTGGGGTTTTATGAGTTTTAAAATGATTTAGGTAAAATCTTAACTTATAGAGTAGTAGGAGATAATGAGACGAGTTTGTCAATATCTTGAGTGGTCGGATAAAATATAGAAAATGGTAATTGCAACGTTGGCGTGAAACAAAGATGAAACTATAAAACTATCATCTTTGGAAAAAGAATATTAAAAAAAAGGAAAATGGAAAAAAAATAATATGGATGAAACATGGATTACGCGTCAATAAAAAGTAGTCTATGTCTGCACATGTGACTAGCATTTTCTTTCATTTTTTATTTAACATCCTAGTGATCAAATAGGAGCAAATAAAAATTTAATGAGTAAATTGAATTTCATTATAATATAATTACTAAAATGGGAGTGAAAAGAAAGTTAAATGATGAAATAACGTAATTTACCGTAATAACATATACGTATTTGTAAAGACAAGTCGGCTTCTCATTGTCATCTAGATGATTGAATTACACTACAAACCAATTCAATAAAAATGACATCTTAGTCTCTTTTTATTATTATTCTAATTCTATTTGACCCCTTCTATAGCTTGAATATAAGTGAATATTGAATTTAGACATGGAAACATAGGGATTAAAGTATAGTGGCCATCATCATATGGTGGTGCTAAAAAGTAGAATAGCAATATTCATAGGAGAAAGAGCTATAATTGCAATCTCTAAAAAGTATAATCTCCATTTATGGGAAAGTAAACAAATTCCCTTTTATTGGGAAACATGATATGTATACATCCATAGATATACTCAAGGAAAACTCCTCTATGTACATCAAACAACTCACAAACAAAGATTAAAACAAAAAAAGCAACACAAGAGAAAAGAAAAGTGGGAAAATTTTAACGAACTGATTTCAATAGTAGCAAATTGGACATCGAATGAGTCCATTTTCATTACAATCTGGACATCTTTGAAATCCACATTCGCCCATTTCATCTCCTTCTTGTTCATTTTCTTCCATTTCATCATCTTCGTAATACACTTTACAACTCCCTGAACAAGTCTCACACGGCACGAATCTGATATCGCCACAAGCTTCACATGCTCCACCGTTGCCGCCGCCATCATTGTCCGCCATTTCACAGCCTTGAACCGCCTTATCTAGCTCACCGTCTTCATGCATTCGCCTTATCTCCTCAGCTCCGCCGATGTACTTTCCCCCCACAAATACTCTTGGTAATCCGCCATTGAATCCTTCTCCGATCAGCTCTTTCAGCTCCCCTTTGAACCCCGAATGCATTGAAACGTCTCGTTCATCGATACGAACCCCTAAGCTTTTGAGGATCACTCTGACATCACAACAATCCTCGTATGTCCTTCGGACACCTCTTAAGCTTGTAAAATAAAGAACAACCTTATCCCCTTTAACGCCGTTCACTTTCTTCCCGGAATCTCGCTCTTTTTCATCCTCTCGGGGAAGCTGTTGAAGCGATTCCCTGAAACCAGAAATGATTTCAGGATCGAAATCTGTAACCCCCAAATCCGATTTGTCTTCAATTTGAAGCCACCCAGGTTTTGGAACATCAAAAGAGAAGCTCCTGAAATGACCTGGAAACCGGAGGGGACTAATATCTTCAAGCCCTGCCATCATTTCCCATGTGTTGATTGTTTCAGGCTCGCCTGGAGGGGTCCGGATAGGCGTCTTGGGGACAACTTTTGGGATCTTATCTTCGATCATTTTGGACCATAGCTTTGCTTCGATCACTTCCATTGCCAACACTTTTTGCCCTTCTTCAACCTGCTTCAAATCCCCATTGATTTTGGAGCCGTTTTCGAGGTTGCCGCTGAATGACGCGACGTTGATGGTGCCGCCATTGTTGTTGTTGCGGTGGTTGTCTTCTAGCTTGAGACTGCCTAATGTCGTGGATGTTAACGCCACGACGTGGTAGCTATCGCCTTTGTGCTGAGCAGGATGATGGACGTGCATTGAATAGCTTCTTGGAACGGGAGAAAATGGAGCCCGGCGACAATGGCGGCATCGTTTTGGCTTGGAACTAGCACAACCCATAACATCAAATAAAAGGGAAAATAAAAATATGGGGATTTTGGAATGTGATTTGATAAATAGGACTATGAGGACATCCCTGATTAGATGAGCTGGATTTGTGAGGTTTTGGTGAAGATTAAATCATAAAAAAAAAATTGGGACGCAATAAAGAAATGTCGATGGAACAAAGGAAATAAAGCAAATAAAAAAAAACCAGAGAATTCCTAGGAAACTCTTATCTTACAGGAAAGATCTAACAAACAGACATGCTTTTATTCATCATCCACCAGAATTATTTAATCACATAAAGAACTTCATAGTTTACAAAGAAAAAGATAAAACTGACGAAACCCAGATGAGGAATTGGAGTAATCAAGTGAAAATAAGAAATGGATTGCAGAGATTTCGGGATTTGGAATCGAAAAAGGTGCCCAAAAAAACTGGGTTTTTCTTTCTGCAGAGATGATTGAGAAGAAAACAACAAAAAAAGGTAGAAGACGGTGAAGAAAAATGGGAATGCAAACGAAAGTCAAATAGAAACAAACTTAAGGTAATATGGACAGGGGGAAGATTGATTATTCAACATATGAACCTGATTGATGAAATTCCATTGATTTTTAATATAAATGGTAGAGAGAAAGAGAGAGAGAGAGAGAGAGAGAGAGAGAGAGAGGAAAATTGGAAACGGGTGGAGAGTGAGAAACGGAATTTGTAGTTGAGATGGGGCTTTAATGAAAATCAACACAATTCCGATTATGGATTGTTTGTCGTCAGAGAAAGACAATAATTAAATAAATAAATATATATATATATATATATATATTATAGTTTTAATACGATTACTTCCTTTGTTTCGGTTTCGCTATTATTATTTTGCTGCTACATATAATTGTTTGGGTAAAATACACTCATGTAACTTAATTATGTGTTTATAATAAATAGGTTCCATCTTTAAATATTATTATAATTTAATCATTTAATTAAATATTAGATAAAATAATTATATGGCTTGTATAATAATATTTTTAGTGCCTAAAATTTATATATTCTATTGATTTAGTCTTAATTTAAAATAATTCAATAAATTTAATCATTATATTTAAAAAAAATTATCAATTTAATTTTTTTTTCTAAATTATTTGTTATTTTATAAATATTATTCATATACCAAACCATCTCAGGCATATGTTTCAATTTTAATCGTCAGTGATATGTTTATAACATCATTTTAATCGAACGATAAAATTATAACTTAAAAATGATTTATTTATTATCAAACATTTTTAATTCAATTTATTTACTCTAACCCAACTTAGATGGAGTCGAATTAAAAATAAATAAGACCATATTTTATAATAATTTAAAAAAGTTTACTGACAAATAGTACTTCATAATTAGTGTTACCAATTCGAATTGAAAAAGTTTTTATCTAAACCTGGTCTAAATTATAGCATTTTTCAATTTTTTGTATACTTTATTTTAATCTTTCTTGTAATGTAGAACAAAGAGAACGTTTGCGATTTTAGCTTTTTTCTAGTGAAGATTTGGGAAAATTTTGGTGTTTAGATTTAAAAAATTATTTTAATCAACGCTTTTATTTGGGAATAAGTTATTTCAAACTTGCTTTTGAATTTACCGTCACTCGATCAAATATTTGGTGTGAAGAAAAGTTTATTTGATGGGAGTATTACTACCTTAACTTACAAATATTTTTGAAATTAATTTTGGATAACAACTTTTATTCGAAATATATAATTTTTAATAAAAAATAAATATTAGATTTCATAGCTTATTTTCTATATCTTATATTCTTATTAAAAGATAGCCAGTGAACAACCCGATTATCAAAAATATTTAAATATTTATATTCATTTTAATCACTCGTTTAATTATATTAATATGATAATATGCATAACTCAAATTTGTCGAGCTTATTATCTAATATTTAACCATTAAGCTCAATTATTAATGAATATAATATTATACATAAAATTTATATGTAATAAACTCAAGTTTATTAATAGATATAGTAGTTTCTAGGAAAAATCCTAGCCGATTTTTTTTTTTTTTGTACAACTTAAGTCAATTTTATTGATTAATCTAATTTTTTATTCTTTAATTTTATTTAATCGGTGATAACACTGGTTTTGATGTTGGTTTTCGTTCGTCAGTTATCTTTTTTTTTTTGTTTTTTTATTTTTTTAATAAAAATAATTATATCTTTGTGACATATTTTTCTGCCTTTGTGATATATTTCTCTACCTTTATGACACGTTTATCTCTGTCTTTGTAACAAGTTTTTCTCTGCCTTTTGGCAGCTTATAGGTTTTTGCCATTATTTTCGTTTATTTTTTTCTCATGGTTAGATTTGACATCGCCACGACTGATCAAGATTGCGCTTATTTGTTATCGTGATAATCTTCCCTACTTTGGACCTTCGGATTGACTTGGATACGCGTTTTGCGTTCGCGGATAGTTTTTTCACGTCACTTGACTTTTATTTGCGATTTGTCGGTGGACTTTAGTAGCTTCATCCCCTTTTGTGGTTCATTTGTCGATGCAGTCAGATTTGTTCGTATTTTTATTTTGTTTGAGCTTTTTGGTTATGTTTTTTAAACTTTTTCTTATTTGGTCCTTGTGTGATCTAGGTGGTTAATTTTTTGTCAATGGTTATAGGAAAATATCCTAATTATAATTTTATTTACGTTATACTTGTAAACATTTATTGTAATTCTGGATATTTTTTATTTTTAATAAAATTAACAGTTTTCTGTAAAAAAATTATTAATAGATACCTTACAGTATTTAATAAATATAAAAATAATATAATAAATATGATATAATATAATTAAATGCGACTAATTTACTATATGAATTATACGTAAAATTTGTATATTTGAATGTCAATACATCTAAGTACTTTTGTTATATTTATATTTAAATAAAAATATGTTATTTTTTATATAAAAAAATTATAGAGATTAAATTTTAAATAAATAAAAAGGAAATTATTATAACATTTGAAATTTGTTTAAGTTGGTGGCAAAATGGAATAAATTAGTAATGGTCAACAAAACGCGGGAATTAATGCTGAAATGACTAGAGTCTTTTGAATACTAATACCAGTCGCTCACTCTGCGTCAATCTCTTGACTCCATGCATTCTTCGAACTATTTTAAAGGAATACCGGTCGTCCGATTGTTTGTGTGTTAGACTGCTCGTCAAGGTGCGTGGGGAAAGAACTTTAAAATGAGGCTCTTTATTTGCTTTTGTTTTTTTACTTTTTTTTCATATATTATTTTGTAGAATAAAATGAAATAAATAAATATAAGGGTAAAGTATAGTAATTGTCACTGAACTTTTATGAAGCTTTCATTTAGGTCTCCCAACTTTTAAAACTTGTAATAAAGTCTCTCAACATTTAGTCTGTTTGTAATATGGTCTCCGACTTTACACTGCCGTTAGAAGATAATGACGTGGTAGTGATATCACCGTTTGCAGCTATAAAAATTAGGGTAAATTATATAAATGATCACTGAACTTTTCAGGCGCTTGCATTTAGGTCCCCCAACTTTTAAAACTTACAAAACAATCCTCAATTTTATTCTAAACCCTAAATTCCAAACTAATTCAATTACATTCTAAACCCAAATTCCAAAATAATCAAAATAATATTGAGTTAACCAAGATTTCATGTTAACCAAGATATATATAATTTTTTTTTATGTTTTGATTGAGTTGTATTCAGTGAAAATTGATTATTAATGTTCGGTTGAGTTCATGTGCAATTGAATGGTGGTGTATGCATGTGTAAATGATGCCAAGTTCATTTGAAAATTGATTGTTACTATTATGAAAATTTATAGATTTAAGTTCATGAAAAAATGTTTCACATTTAAGTCCCAATAACCAATATTTAAATAGCATCAATGTTTACAATATTTTATTTAAACTCAATACCCATTACACATGCAACACAATCTGAAAAAACAATAAGAAATTAGAACTCAATATCAAATACCATCAAACGTCATTTACACATGCATACCCCACCATTCAATTGCACATGAACTCAATCGAACAGTAATAATCAATTTTCATTTAATACAACTCAATAAAACATCAAAAAAATCAAAAAAAAATATAAATCTAGGTTAACATGAAATCTTGGTTAACTCAATATTATTTTGAAGTATTTTAGAATTTAGGGTTTAGAATGTAATTGAATTATTTTAAAATTTGGGGTTTAGAATGAAACTGAGGACTGTTTTGCAAGTTTAAAAGTTTGGGGACTTAAATGCAAGTGCATGAAAAGTTTAGTGACCATTTATATAATTTACCCTAATTTTCATAGTTGCGGTGATCTCACTGCCACGTCAGCGTCTTCTAATGGTAGTGTAACGTCGGGTACCATAATGTAAACGGACTAAATGTTGAAGGACTATATTGTAAGTTGTAAAAGTTGGGGGACCTAAATGAAAGCTTTAGAAAAATTTAATGATCATTACTGTATTTTACCCTAACTATAATCATGGATGGAAGGGGATTGAAGGATTGGTAGGACAATATGTAAAAAATTTAAATTGAAATAAAATTAATTTTTTATATTTTTATTGATAATTTATTTTTATTTATAAGTTGTTGTCTATTTTTTATATAAAAAACCATTAGTCTTATTAAAAATATAAAATATCTAGAATTACAATGAAGATTTACAAGAATAACCGTAAACATAAACTAAATTATAATTATGACATTTTCCTATAATCATTGACACAAAAACTAGCCACCTAGATCACACAAGGACCAAAAAAAAGATTTAAAAAATCTAACAAATGCTCGAACAAAATAAAGATACGAACAAATCTAACTGTATAGGTAAACGAACCACAAAAGGAGTTGAAGTTACTGAAGACCACTGACAAATCGAAAAATAGAGTCAAACGACGTGAGAAAACTATCCACGTACGCAAAACGCGTTCCAAATCAATTCGATGGTCTAAAGCAGGAAAAATTAACATGATAACAAATAAGCGCCATCTTGATCAGTCATGACGATGTCAAATCCAACCCTAAAAAATAAGATAAACGAAAACAACGGTAAAAAAATCGTAAGCTACCAAAAGGCAGAGAAAAACGTACTACAAATGCATAGATAAACGTACTACAAAGGCAGATAACATATCACAAAGACACAAGTATTCTTATTAAAAAAACTAAAAAAAACAAAGAAAAAAGACAATCGGTGGGTGAAAACCAACTTCAAAATCGGTGTCGCCGTCGGTTAAATAAAATTAAAGAAAAAAAGTTAGATTGATCAATAAAATTGGCATAAGTTGCCAAAAAAAAGGATGAGGAAGAAAATGACTAGGGTTTATCTTGTTCTCGATTTTTTTTTTAAATTCATTCTTCTAATTTTTATCATATATTTGTCCCTAATTATATATATATATATATATATATATATATATATATATATATATATTACAAAATATTGAAGGATTATTTTTTGGATTAGTTATAAAATA